TTCACAAAGAACAAAGGACACAAATAAATACTATAAATTTTCAGTAGAAAAATAAACCATTTTAGGGAAGGGGATAAAAGAAGTGATTTTTCAGAGAAGGTGGATGCTGAGTACGCCCAGACCAGGATAGGTTGTACTTGAGAGGATGTGCCTTTCATTGAGTACTCTGGAGACCATGCTTCAGGGAATTACAGGCAGTTGATAGTTTGTAGCCCAAGTTTAGTTTTGTGGGCCAGCCTCTCTCAATTACCCTGAAACTCACGGCTCCTTTTGTGAAAGGAAGTGTTAGGTATCACTTTATTTTTCTTAATACCTCTATTCCTGAACAAACTACTGCTAGTAATTACACGTTATAGTCATAATTCACATTCACATACATACAAATCTTAAATACAATAAATTTACTCTCATATAATCAAGCTAGAGCCATTAAGTTTGGATGCATTGTCATAGTGGACATGTAATGATTGATGTCCAGTGATGTACATTACTAAACAGTAGGGGACACTTCACTAAAGTCTCATAGAATTTAAAAGTAAATACTCTATGTAACAAAAGTGATTTTACTGAGAACTTGCTTATTTGCTGCATAAGTAAGTAATAAAGCAATTGTTAAAGTCACAAAACCTATTACCTTCATTGATCTGAGGTTCATTATTCAAGTATGGCAACATACGAAAACACTCATTTTTATAATTTATTATTTTTATCTGTTTCTTATATTTGAAATTGTGCTATGTCTCTCTTCTCTCTAGTTAGGTAGCTTAGTGCTTTAGGAAAACTACGTGATTAGGAATCAAAAGATCTGCAGAGGAGCCACAATTCCGTTACTTTTTTAACAGTGGAAAAAACAGTAATTTCCATGAAGGCAGAAACCATGTCTCTTTCATTAACACTAAGTGCTCAGTGACTAGCAAGGATGTGGACTGCAGAAGCTGCACGCTGATATTGTTGTATGAATGAAGTCACTGAGCTTTCTGTACCTCTTCTTTCTCATTGAAATGTGGAGGTGATATATGTATCCTACCTACCTTGATGTATAAATAGAAGTTCCTGGAAAATTATAACTCATATGTAAGAAAATAATTTTTTGTTATAAGCAGTGCTAAAGTTCAAATCTATTCTCTTGCTTCACAGAATATTGGTCTACTTCACAATGGCTCTCTGTAAACCTTGTCATTGATTTTTCAGGTTAGTTGAAGGGGAAAAGAAGGAGACATTTTGAAAGGGCTAACTTCTAAGCCATTGCTGTTTCCTCTTCATCATTTATGTGATTGGAACAGAGTTAAGACCAAGAAAATTTCAATAGTACGCAATCCATCAGTCATATGTACTTGGCATTGATATGTGTTTTTGTACTTTTAGTTGAATTAAGGGTATCTGGTGTTCTGGTAATTGAACTAAAACAAAATAATGAAGTCACAGTGACAATACCTAATTCAGGGTTTCCTCATCTTAAGGTGCCTCAGTTTAAGATTTCCACACCTTAATCCATACAGACTGACATTATTCTGGATTTGTATCACCTTTTTTCTCCCCTAAATAAAGGAACTCATTTATTTAATTTCCCAGTGGGAGTACCTATGGGGTGACTGACATGGGATAGAAAAATAAATAAGTTCAACATATCTGAGTTGAAGAAATACAAAGACAATATCCACACTACGATGTGATAAGAATTAAACCAGAGCTCCTTGCTACTTCCCCTCCTACTGGGAGATAATTTTGCCTCCAAAGACAAAGGGAGTTAGAAACTATTAGGCAGGAAAGCATAGCCTATTCTTTTCCATTTTAACTTGTTGTATAACCAGAACATTTGAACTGCTTTCGTTTAGAATATTCAAGTATCAGAAAACAAAAATAAAAAGCAATGACAGAAATTTCCTTTTTAACTACCTTCCAATATGAGGACTGTAGCTAGGTAAAAACTATTCATCACCAGGATAATTTTTACATTGACTATATTTTGGCTTTATAATATAGTTCCTAACTTTTTCAGTACTTGGCCCTGACAACTTTTTTGGCTATGAGTGGGGTTAGCTGTCTACGACCCTGAACAATGCAATGGAAAACCTGGGGAGACTGAGAGTTTATGGTGTACTAAATTTAACTTAATAATATTCAGAATAGACCATGGTCATTAACTGTAAATATATACCAATAGGCAATGTAACACCATCTACCATGTTCACCCACTCAACCAATCTACTGGATTTTTCAGGCAACAATTGTTTACGTTAACCGCCCAGCTCTACTGAAATCTGCCATCAACATCCAGGGTGGTCTATTTAGATAATCTAAAAAGATAACATTCATAAATCTTGGGAAAGTTACTTTTTAACAGATATAAAATCTTAGTAGTAGCTGTCCTTCTTTAGTAAAGAAAAGGGTTTTGGTATTTTAACTAACTTTTTTTGTCCTTCTGGCTTTTTAGTCTAGATATAAAAAAATGCTAATATTATTTTAGTATTAATGAGCCATGCAAGTTCTAAGAAGTGGCTCATCCTACTGAAAAACTAAATTCATTTAAAGGCAGTAACTTTGTTTTTCTGTATGATAAGGCCACCATTAGTTAAGATTAAGTTAGCCAAAGAACTCTTCCATGATCGAAATTAATTGATAACACATTATCACAACATTTATGACCCTGGGCTGTCAGAGTGGAGTCAATATTAACATGTTGTTCCATGAGTGGAAAAGAAAAACAAGGCAAATAAACACAAAACTCACTTTATGAAGAAAATTTAAATAACAAGGATGTACAAATAAGGATACTTAGTTGTATTCTAAATATTAAAATCATAGTTAGCAAAAGAAAAAAAAATTTTTTTTAAAGATTCTACTTGGGGAATTGGGAGAGGGGAACAGCGTTGGGGGATTGGGGAAGGGGAACAGACAAGTTGCTGTCCTTTTGTTCTTCAGTCTAGTTGTGGAGGACGTCGTTTCACTGGCCCATGTTGGTATTATCATTGCGCTTTTCCCAGGTGAGGCAGATTGGTCACCGGCCTCTGGACGGCCGCTCACTGTGGCTCTTGGCAGCTCACACCAGCTACCCCGGCTGCTCACGCTGGCTGCCAGACACACACACGGTAGCTTACAGCAGCCCACTGCAGCAAGGCTGCAGCCTATACCATCGTCAGCGACTCTCGGCAGCCAAGCTCCAGGTCGAGCTGTTGTTCACCATCTTAGCTGTAGAGGGCAGTGTCACTGGCCCTCATGTGGGATCCAAACCAGGGCCCTGCTGCTCAGAGCTGGTGTCCCAAGCCAGCTCTTAACCAACGTGCTACTTGGCTGAATAAAAAATTTTAAATGCAAAACACACACCGCTATTTTAAAAAATGTAGGCTATCATGCTTTGTATTTATTAAATTATTTATCCCAAGCAACATGATCACATGGGGACATACATGTCATAGACACATAGAGATTTAGTAATTGTTTTTAGGGTTTCATTCCATAGGTAGGAGATTTACTGATGTTTTCAGGGTTGAACCTAAAAGAAATTAGCTCATATTTACTCAAGCAAGCATTGAAGAGCCAAAGAATCTTTACTGCCCATAACTAGGTTTTGAATTTTTGTCTTTTAGACCTATGCCTTATGTCTAACAAGTCTATATTTTATTCTTTAAAATCCCCATTGATCTTTGAATTTAATAAAGGCTTTTAAAGTTACTCTATTAAGGTAACCATTTTAAAGATGTAGAATGAAATTATTCTAGAACAGCGGTTCTCAACCTTCCTAATGCCACGACCCCTTAATACAGTTTCTCATGTTGTGGTGACCCCCAACCATAAAATTATTTTCGTTGCTACTCTATAACTGTAATTTTGCTACTGTTATGAATCATAATGTAAATATCTTCTTGTTTTCCGATGGTCTTAGGCGACCCCTGTGAAAGGGTCATTCGACCCCCAAAGGGGTCGCGACCCACAGGTTGAGAACCGCTGTTCTAGAAGATTTAATCATAACCAAAGCAGAAATCAGGAATGATCACAGGGAAACATTTCTCAGGGGGTAATTTAATGACATTACTAAAACTGTGGGAATCCATATACCACCTAGATGATTAGGAAAGGGGTTATTAGCTAAGCCATTGTCTGAAACCCACTGAATCACTGGTCCTTTTGAAAAATGATTGGTCCTTTTTTTCCGAGATGGGTTTTAAAATATAAGAGATGTTCCAAGCAGCAGAGCTGAAAGACAAAAAGAACACAGACCTTGCATGGGTCTAGATATCTCTTCATAGGCAAAAGAGAGAGGTAAGATATCAAATCTTTGCTTTCATATTATTATAAATCAAAATCAGTCAACTATATAGGATAGACTACCAAGATCACCCTGACTGCTTATATAGGTCAGTGATTTGAAGTAGGGCTGGGTTTTCACATTTAGAGGACAAGAGATAATATACTTCCATAGATTGTACTATAAATCAATTTTGCAGTTTAATTTTATAAACTTTTTCCCTGAATTGGAAAAATAATGACTCAGTTTCTTCATTTTAATACATTTTAACGTTACTAGACTTTTAGATGAAAATTATCTGGTATGGAACTTCTATAGTAAGATCTTTATTGCAGTATTTTTACTACTACATTAAATAGACATTAAAATTGTTTTCTTAATAAGGATCCAGTCATGGGCCTCCCATTGTCAGAAGGACTCACACCCTTCAGTGTAAAACAGTACAATGGATGAAGCCATCTCATCCATAACTCATTCAACTACATCATATGCCACCAAATGAGTTATTTAGTCAAGCTAAAACCATGAGCAAACAATTTTGGTTTTATAAGCAGCTGCTCTGGGAGAAAAGAATAATTTTTCTTATAGCTATTTATAAATATACTTTTTATTTTAAATCCTAATATATAAGCAAATACTATAACTTTCACCCAACTACCCTTCTGATTGAACGTCAGCAAATTTTTGTTATGATTTTACATGGTCTTTTTAAAGTTAAATTTCACAATTTATTTTCTAGATACTTCATCTGAAAATGAAAACCATAATTCTTTTGGGGCTACTAGGAGCCACGATGTCAGCCCCAGTAAGTGATTTCATGGTACAACTGAAGTTATTTTGTAAAACCTGTAACAAATCTTTTTACCGTTTTTTTTTGTTTGTTTGTTTTTTAGCTTATCCCACAGCACCTTTTGTCTGCAAGCCACAGCAACGAGGTTAGTTTAAAAACTTAAAACAATCTCTTTCTTTTTGTTTGTTTGTTTGTCTTTTTTAAAAACCCAAGGGTGGGTGTATGTGAGGGGGTGAAATTCAAAATCTAGCTAGAGACCATAAGATTCTTTGGTTCTTCAGTGCTCTTATATCCAAAGGCATTTCCAGTGTTCATCTTTGCTTTATATACCAGATTACTTCTAAAATATTATTAGCCTCCTTTGTTTGATTGTAAATTCTTTAAAGGCAATGACAGTATTTTGCATATCTTTTTATCCTAATAGCACTTAATACAGGTGTATATAAGTGTTTAAGAGCATGAAATGACTAACTAAACCACTGGAATGGACTCAAGTTGTACAATCTGACACACAGCAGGGAAGAGGTAGTTAAATTCCAACCTCTAATCACTGCTATTTAGTATAAGCTTAGTGAGAAAACATTTCACCTCTAACAGGAAACTATGATCAATCAGTTGTGACTTGTGCTGTACTTGTAGTAAACACTGTTATTAATAACTTTAGCATATGTATTAATCTTGTTTTTGTATTATATTTCCTTTTTTAGTTACTGCTGAATCTTAATAATGCTCAGCTTCAGCCACTACGGCTTCAGGTACCTCTACCGCAATAATTATTTTAAGAAGGTTTTTCTACTGCCCATTTCTTATTATGGTACTTTGTATGAGAACAAACATTTCTCATTTTTGAAATCTCACTTTTTAAAGTTATGAATCTGTCCTATACATTCTAATGACCATTGGAGACTAAAGTAAAACATATAATCTGATTAACACGTATTTATTGAGAAGTTGGTATATGCCAGGCACAGATTCTCACAACTATGAGATACTTAAATTAACTATTTTACATGAAGTCATACTCAGCTTACTGGTTAAAAAAAAAGATTTGAAACTAGTCTGGCAACTGCAGAAACTGTACTTTTTATCCCCCTCATTGTGCCCCATATTTCTCATGACCATTGGGAGTTGAGCATTGTTCGTATTATTTGCACAGCTCATAATGTGCCAAGATGCTGTCCTTTTTTTAGAATGTAACAATGAAAATATAGAAATTGTTTACATTTTGTCTCTTTCCTGCTCAGGATTTATTTTCAATTATTTCTAAAATGAAAGGGAAATATTTTCTTTCTTTTGTATCTTCCCAGGGTCCATTTAATTCATGGCTTGCTCCTTTCTCTGGGATTCTACAACAGCAACAACAAGCTCAAATTCCAGGACTCTCCCCATTCTCTTTATCAACTCTAGACCAGTTTGCCAGACTGTTCCCAAATCAGGTAACTTTCCCAGGACAGGCCAGTTTTGCACAAGGAACCCAGGTGGGACAACTGGACCCCTCACAGCCTCAAACACCACCGCAGACCCAACAAAGCCCAAATCACGTAAGTTGAGCCTCTTCCATTTTGTTGTTCAGAGGAGAGATAATGCACGTTGAATGTGAAAATATGAAGCAGCTTTGAAATAAGATAGGAGTTACTGAGCAAGAATTTTCTCACAATAGGTTTCTACCACCACTGGAAGTACTTCTGTATCTTCTTATTTCTAACATGAAAAATACCATTTAAATCAGCTATTGTAGGTTCACAGCCACAAATCAAAATTGTTAAAACATGCCTTGGAAAAGATAATTAGGGAAATTTCACCTTTAAAAGAAGACAATTTGCATTAACGATGGCACATATAACAGGTGACCTCTGTTGTCATAGAAGTCAGCTAGTAAAATTATAGATTTATATGGTTAGGTCTAAGAAAAACAGCTCTGGAATTTTAAATTAAAAAGTCAAGTACAACATTTTTATGATTCCTTTTTTGGCAGGTGATACCCTATGTGTTCTCATTCAAAATTCCTCAAGAGCAAGCACAGGTAAATAAATAGGATATCACCACTCCTATAGAGAGAAAGTACATACATTCTCGTTAAATGTTTTTTTTTGTTGTTGTTTGTTTGGGTTTTTTTTGCTTTTTTTAATATCTATAGCTCTGACTCCTACAGCAGGGCTATAAAAACCCATACAATGATATTACTGTCTGAATACTGCTATTGCTGGGCTGTCATCATTTGTTAATGTCAGATTCACTTAATAACTCCTGAAGAAAGGCTCCTAAGGTGAATCCCCAGGACCCCAGAGTTCCCAGAGCATTACTGTGTTGGGAATAAAGGAGCTCACTAAGCCCTAAGTTATGTCCTTTCTGCATCCTAAGTGCTGCCATTTGGGAAAAACTCAAAAGAAATACTAGGGGCTGACTCTGCCCAACCCTAATTTTTTTTCAGAGGGAAATGCATTGATAAAATATGATACGATGTGCAGATAAGAAACACTTTCCCATATTATTTGATAGTTATGCTCAAAACATTTTCAGGTTCCTGTATATTTTCAGCTTAATTCCACATTACAATCAAATGGTGGTTATGTTCATAAAATAGGAGAATCTTAAAAACAAATGTAAACTAGTAGAATCATTAGAGTAATATGGAAAACCCTCTCAGGATTAGGCTAATTAATTTTATAATATTCTGAGTTAAAGAAATAGGGACATAGATGAACTATACTATTCACCAGCAGAGTATTGACCACTCATAAAAAGCTCAATCACTTGACTCTACCGTAATTATAATTATTTAATTTTGTCTGAAAACAAAAATTACTTCTAGACATTATCTCATTGTATGCCATAGTATTTAGACAGTTAGACACATTACAGGTGGAATTACTTCATCTTAAGGATCAGGAAACGAAGTCTTAATGAGATTAAATTCCCAATCCTAATTGAAGTAAATAGCTGAGTTAAAATATAATTTTTCACCCTTCCTTTAACCACTAAACCAGTGGCTCTCCACCCTGGCTTGGATTAGAATCTTTAGTGGTAATTTTGAAAATTACATATGCCTGGGCCCTACCCACACCTAATGAATCAAAACCCCATGAGTAGCACCCAAATATGATTATCTGTTAAAACGCTCAATAGGTGATTTTGATTCAGAGCCAGGATGAAGAACCACTGCACAAAATGGATTTCTCAAACCATAGTTGTTGTTGTTGTTAATTCTTATGTCTAATATAGTCTCTTATTTAGTAATACCCACAAAACAGCATATAAAACTATGTAGGTACTATGATCCCCATTTTCTATAAAAACATATGCATATATACACACAGATATAAGTGGAAGCCAATACATGATAATGTAGGTGGTGAAGTTGCAGGTCACTTTATTTGTTCCTTGTCTCTGGATTTTCAAAATATTCTAAAATCTATATGGATTGTTTTAATGAAATTTCAATTATTAAAGGCAATTTAATTCTTGACATTTCATTCATTATGGTAGGATTTCTAATACCATGTCATGCAGAATAACGATTCTCAAAAAATATAGAGGAACTGTTGTATAGGCTATCCTCGTCTTAGATATATGCAAAGTGCTTTGTATATAAAGTCTAAAATTTGTATATAAAGTCCAAGATGCCCCTTTTAAAAAGCATGTTCTTTAGTTGAACCCACTACTTTCTAAATTCATTTGACAAACAACCTTGAAACAAAGTTCAGTTCATGTGCAATATAAGTTGTTTCTAAAGTTTGGGAAGGACTGCTTTATGCATTCTTTTGTTCATAAAATTGCTAGATATATATCAGCTGTAAAATAATTTTGACATTAGAAAAAAATTTTTAAAGGCCTATGTTGATTCAAAGGAAGCTCTTACAAACATTTCTGTCTACAAATAGATGCTTCAATACTATCCGGTTTACATGCTCCTACCCTGGGAACAACCTCAGCAAACAGTAACACAGTCACCTCCACAAACAGGACAGCAGCAATTTGAGGAGCAGGTACTGCAAGTGTTTGATTTTAATCTGATTAGTTCCATGTAAGAAAAGAGAGAAGAAGGTACATTTCCAGAGGAGAAAATATCTGAGTATGTTTAGTGCAAAAACTCAATAGTTTGAACTGCTGGTCATAAAAGGATGCAGTGCTTTCTCTTAACATATCACTAATTTGGAAATGCTCTAAGGCTGGATTTTTAAAGAATGAAATCAATTAGCATAATAACCTCAAGATCTATCCATGTTGTCGCAAATGGCACTATTTCATCTTTTCTTATGACAGAACAGTATTCCATTGTAAGTCAGACAGAAAAAGTCAAGAACCATATGATTTTACTGATATGTGGGATATAAAACTGGAAGCTACAAAGGAACAAGACAAACAGACAAAAAACCAAAAACTCATAGACACAGATAGCAATTTACTGGTTACCAGATGGTAAGTGGGGAGGAGAGTGGTAGAATAGGGTAGATGGGATCAAATATATGGTGATGGAAGGAGAACTGACTCTGGGCGGTGAACATACAATGTGATATATAGATGATGTATTACAGAATTGTACACCTGAAACCTATGTAACTTTACTAACCATTGAAACCCCAATAAACTTTAATTAAAAAAAAGAGAAGATATGAACTATCAAGAAAGCATTTGATATAATATAGTATGTATACATGCTTTTATGTAATCATTTATTACAAAATTATGACAAAAATCATCATAGAAATTCTAATGTATGTTTTCAAAAATCTGACAGATACCATTCTATACTCAATTTGGATATATTCCACAACAAACAGAACCTGTAAGTAAATGCATACTTTTCTATTAGAAAAAAAAACAAACTTTTGAAACTTCTTGCTGCATAACCTAATAAATCTATCGGTGCCATTCAGCCCAAAACCACCCCACCAAGAACAGATTCCTGGTTGAACAAAGTTGGATTCATCCACTCATTGCAATGAGGGACAACACACACCATAAGGAACTGTGGGGTGTCTTAATAGGGAGGTATTAAAATTACATCTTATAGGATCTGGGCTTGTGTCAGGAAATTTTGGGGCAAGTTCAAAGAGTGATGATTTACCCTGGATTGGGTGTTCTCAAAACATCAGGGAGGGGTAGTTCTATGATTGGGTAACTTAATGATTCTTACTAAGAACGATGGAGCAAGGCAATACTGTGATTGGTAGAGAAGCAAGAGTTACTCAGATTAGCCAGGATATGAGGATGTCTGGTATTTTCGTGGCTCGTACCATGATATTGCTTTAGACAAGATTACAAAGTGGTCTTGTTTTTGTCGCACCTCATTATGTTTACAGGCGAACTTGTCTGATATTGGTGTTCTGTAGGGTTGTTAATGTTCAATAGAAATCCAGGCCCTAACAGAGAATATCAGGCAAGCTCCTGACAACACAAGCAGAGCTGTTGTATCAGGCCAGTTTCCCTGTGTCAAGAGCTGTTTTTCTCTTTCTTAAATGTAAATGATTGTTTTTGTTTCTAAGAAACTATTTTAAGAAGTTGAGAAGTGTTTAAGTGTCCTGGGTACAAAACAATATTTTTATAGATTAATGATTTAAACTTTTAAAACTTTCTAATTTTTTAGGTTATACCAGGAAAGCAACAACTAACATTTGATACCTTCATAGGCACAGTTCCTGAAACTGGAGCGATGGTAAGATTCCTTACCACATATTGCTAGGTACTAGAAATCAGCAACTGACAACCTCCAGTTTTCTGAACTATTGTTCATTTAATGAAAACTTTATTATTATTATTCCATCAATGATTACAGAAGATTACATCTTCTCCCTGTAATTTTTTGCCAGTGGAATTTAATTCACTCAGTTCATCAAATATTTCCTGAGGGACTACTATATGTCAGATACTCTCCTAGGTACACTCATTTAAAATCAGGTATTAAGAGACATCCACATTTCCGGGTATATAGGCGTAGCCTCTCTAAAGGATAGGTCATAATCTAGAAAATACTAAAGGTATTTACTTCTTAAATAAATTTGTTGTCTTGCATCTCAATCCTGTTGCTTTATATTCTTCCAATTTGACCTTGCGCTTGAACCTGTAACCACTTTATTTTCTTCCTCATTCTCTATAGCCAGCAGGAGGAGTGATACCATATTTACAAAAAGAAATGATAAACTTTAGGCCTGCCAGTGGAGGAATTTTCATTCCTTCAACTTCACAAAAACCCAGCACAACAAGTATTTTTGCTTCTGATATAGACCCAACTATTACCCCAGAGCTCATGGAAGAGAAGGTAGAGTAATTAAAGATTTATTATATGTAAGAAATTATTGTCTAATAGAAAATATAAAGTTAGTGCTTAATTTATAGGACTTAGTTATGGAAATAATGTGAGAGTTAATGATACAGTAGAATATATGGTCTTAACCTTGAATGGGGAGGCCAATAATTGCTTAGTGATAATCAATTAATCAGAATAGAATTAATTTTAATTTAATAAGAGCTTCTTACGAATGTCCTTTTCTCAATAGGCCAAGACTGGTAGCCTAAAGGAACCATAAGACGTTGTCCTAATCACTCAGAATTTTTGGTAGGTATTTGACAAGAGGGATGCATTAAGTACCATGACATATACTAAATTAAAAGAGAAAAGAAAGAAAAAGAAACCACCAGGGGATTTAATGAAGATACCTTATCAAAATGAAAAGAAAAAGTTAGTGCTTATATATTTCTATAAAACTAATAATAATTATGGGATTCAGCAATTTTTTAAAATTCAAAATAAATTTTTGAGAATCATGTCTACCTATGCCATAACTTGTTATAAGCTCTGAAAACACAACTAGTAAATATACTAGGTTTATGTAAAAGATATTCTACAGACACTATAAACAGAGTCAGTTCTCCCAAATCATTACTTCACATTGCAAAGTGCAAGTTGTAATGCCAACACATTTGTATTAGATTGGAATAAGATAAAGTCTCAAAGTGATAAAAAAAAATTACACAATCACATGGAAATTTAAAATTCCATGACTTTTATGTCAAATAATACCTTAATTACCCGTACCAATAGGCTTGGTTGGGTGTCAGGCCAATGGGTGTTTGATAGGAGGATAGGCTGGCATGGCACCAAAAAGTAAAAGATACACACTAAAAAGCAAACAATTTTGCCAGAAAGGAAAACTAAAAGGCAAAGTTTATTCAAATCTCCTCCTTGCTGCCTATGAGTCTCTTCTGATTCCAACTTCTATGAAAATGAATACTCAGCATTCTTCAGATGAAAATAAGTCTATAAAAATACAACCAGAAGTGAATAGTGTTAGTACCTTTTTAGAAAGGTCTCTCCTGTAATGTAACATTTTGTACAATGCAATTCAAGTTATTTAATCAGAAGTATTAAAGGGATTTCAGTATAGTGTGACCTACACTCTACATGACATTAATGCCAGAAAAAGTAAAGTTTTCCATTTCTTTACTAAGCAATTTATTGTAGAATATATCTAGGAAATTTTACACAAAATAGTCTAATGGTACTAACATGTTGTTCTATTTTATTTTTCAGAGAAAAAGTCATGGTGGTGCCTCGGATATCATTTTAGGCTATTTGTTCCCTCAATGCTAATATTAGTTCTTTGAAATATATAAAGTATCTTGGCTTTTCTCTTGAATTTCTTTTAATGTCTAAATAGTTTTGCACTAGAAAAATAATACAATCATTTAGTAAGTCCTATCTTTATAAAGTTATATTTCTTTTCAAAAACTCTATTATTGCATAATCTGGAAAGTAGCAATGATAAGAATAAAGCTAATATCACTGAATCAATTGGATAATTGTATTAATAAAGGATGGTTCTGGAAAATGATGTAATTGATGAGAATAAAGATATATGTTATTGGATTTCTGAGTGTGATGATTGGGACTGGTGAACTAATGTATCTAACTTTGACATATTATCTCATTATTTCACCCAGGCCCATTCAGCTAGATTCCTTCTTATGCACTCTCCCTTAGAATTAAAATTATTTGGTAGCAGATATCATGAAGTGCATGCTCCCAGTATGACACAACTACACAGAGAGATGGCTGTCCTCACCCAAAAGGATAGATCCCTTGGAAGATGTATGCTGGGGAGGCAATATTCTGTAAATAATAGGGCTTTGGTTTTGGATTTCAGTCTGGTTTTGAACCTTCAGCAAGTCACCTATCCTGAGTTGAGATAACCATATCTACCTTTTAGAATTTCTGAAATTACTACATGAAATAACACAAGTAAGATACCTGGCTCAAACAAAGTACTCAGAAAATGTTAATTTTCCCCTTTCATTTGTGATTATGGGAGTCCTTTTTACTTATTTTCTTAGCTTTGGACCTTCAGCTGAAAGTCTGAGAAAACTGACTTTCAATATACTTTACCATATTTGTATGTAGATGTATTAATATGTTTATGTGTGTGAATGTATATATATGAAAAGAAAACTGAATGAGTGAGTGAATGAGTATGTATTAGGTGGTTTCAAACAAATTTGGTTAGTATTCTATGCTTTAAAGTTGATCACAATTCATAGGTTTTCCAGCATTTAGTAATGTTATGACTGGAATTTACTACTTACCCTATGAAAGAGTAACCCACTAAACACTTATTCTAACTTTATTTTATACTTTGTCCTTTTCCCCTAAATTGGTGAGTTGAATGAATGTAATTGACTGACCTCTTAATACTGGACATGATATAGGAAGTCAAACACCAAGCTATCTGATAAAATGTAGGTATTCTGAACTTAAGAATATCATGTCCCAAAATTCCAAGAGTTCACAAGGTCATTGAGGAAAATTACACAAGGTAATTCATGCTGAGTTCTTCGAATATATTCTGGAACACAGCAAGTATTCAACTTTTCTCTTTAAGGAGGAAGAAAAAGGGGATGGTCAAAAATTAAAGTGAGATATGAGTATAACATAGTTATTTTGTCCGAGGGTACAGTGAAGAGAAGTGAACTCAGGGAAAACTGCAAAACTCTAAGTATCAAGTTATAATCAAATCAAGACTTTGGTAATATTAGGGGTTATAATAATAAATACTTCCAAAAACATGGGGATATATTAATACAATATTATTATAACACATAAAACCATAAAGTGGATAAGTACTACACAAAAAATGCAATAATAAAAATTGAGAAATTACTTCAAGAATAAATATTTTGATAAAAACATTAATATTAAACTAAGCATGCTGAATTTATTTCTTTATTCCAGGCAATATTAACAGGACCTTATGACTGTGGATAGTTTTAACAGATCCAATTTAGTGACAACTAAAAAAATAAATTCCGTAATCTCTGTTTAGGATCCAATCTGTTTCAGGAAGATGAAGATATTAAGTCATAAGGTGTTCTTGAGCAACAACTATGTGAAAACTTGAATACTATAATTACTATCCATGAGATATTCTGTTTTCAAAATATTTTATAAAAGAGCTTTAAACTCTATCATTTCTGTTACCAAAGTTAGGAAGGCAAGAGTGTATAGTTTATGAAAATATCACCAGAATACATGCAAAGAACTAGGTTTTGTTTATTTGTTTCAAGCCTGGCTTTCTTTCTCAGGCCAGTAGAAGAAAGGTGAAGCAGAAAAAGGGGCTCAATTTTGGACAGGGTTGACCAGAAAAATTCTTTGTAGAATAATTTCTTTAAAATCAGCTTTGCTTAGATTTGATAATCCACAATATAGATTGAAAATTTTCCCTCCCAACCTTCTACATGGGGTGCTCCCTAGCTAAATGGATTATAACAGCATTAGTTCAAGACTGAAATATAGAATCCATGTATGAACTCACCTCCAACTTTACACCCAAATCCAATCTATTATCATAATTTAGTAGCATTTTTATTTTATTTTTTATTTCTTTTATTATTATTAGCTTCAGGTGTACAAAACAACATAGTGATTAGACATTTACACCCCTCACAGACTGATAACCCCAACAAGTCTACTGCCCATCTGACACTCTAGCAGCATTTTTAGATGCATAGACTTAAAGTGTGTAGTGTGATGTGTTATATATATACAAAATAGCTAATATTTGCATATATTATAGTTCATCTACTGGGGGATCATATTGATCTTGTGGAGGCTTTTATTTACTTATTTGTATAATCAAATATTTCAGTTTTGTCCTTGGTGCTAGGGCAAAACTAAGTCCTATCAACATGGTCTTTCCACCTATGAGCCTTCACTTCTGGCCTGTGGTGTTTATCAAGCTCCTCTAAATTGATGGAACTCTAATTCCAAACTCAGCCTCCAAAGCAACAGGAAGTTGCTGAAATCTCTGCTCTTTCAACTTTTCAGCTATTGCTTTCCCCTGGGATCCTTGATATCTTGCTTTGCATATGCATATGCATAGTCAGCCAAGGATTTGAGGAGTTTATACACAGATTTTGAGGTTCCCACCTCAGAAGTTCCTTCCATTATGGGACTTTACCCCTCTGGCATCCCCAAACTTCCTCTGATGTCTCAGAAACTGTGACTTCCTTATTGAGGTCTAGCTGCAGATGGGGAATGCCTATAAAAGAAAGGTGATATAAATGTAGATTTAACCTTTATTGCAAGAGTCTAATTTTCTTAAGTTTCTACCTGCTTTTGGTCACTCTCCAATGCCTTCCAGCTGTTTTATTTTTTTTTTCTTCTTCATATTATGCCCAGAGCTTATAATTGTTATTAGCAGGAGCTTTAATTCAATATAAACTTTTCTGTCAATAACAGAAGCTGGAAGTCTATATTATGAAGATTTTCTGTCATAAATGTTTTTTTAATCTCTTTTATCTTCACTCTCTCTACCCTCTGAAGAACATGCTCAACTCTTATAAAGATTAATAAACAACCACTTCCACATTTGTTCCCCTAGAAATAGAGTGGTCATTCAAATATGGAACCCTGATCATTTTACTCCCCTGCTTAAAACCATGCAATGCCTTAGTTTCTGCTTAAATTCCAAACTCTGTTAATTGGCTTAAAAGGTTCATATTACTTGGTTCTCCTGGTACATTTGGCATAAACACATTGATCACTACATTCCAGCCAAAGTAAAGTCCTTTACATTTTATAGAATATGCCATGAACCCCTGAACCTAAAATGTCACATTCTGTTCCCTCTGCCTGGAACATTATTCCTTCTTCTCTTCATTTGACTAATATCATATTACTTCTTAGGTCTTTACTTTTTCTTGTATACTTCTCATAGACCATTTATATTAGGCTGGGGTCCCTGTTCTGTATTTCTCCAGTGCCCATACTCCCTTAATCGTTTCACTTATAAATGCTATTGTTATTTTTCTTTATTTTGTCTAATAAGGTGTAAGCTATAGGAAGGCATGGATAGTGCCTTCTCTAATCAGCATTATACAGTGACTTGAATAGTGCCTGATCTCTAATTAAAGCACAATAAATGCTTAATATATTAATAAATTAATGAGTAAAACCTACTTCAAATACAACCTGGCTCTCTCCAACAATAATTTCACAAATAGCAAGGGCCAAAGCTGACCAGTCCTGTTTACT